AAGGTGCTGAAAGGGCACCCGTGGGGCTTTCCGGCACGGGCACCACTAAGCTCACCAGATACCTTCACCAGCCTGCAGGAAGAGCATCACGCATTTCTCTGGGTGTGAGACTGGTCTCAAACTCATGATTCTCTTGCCAACCCCAGGCTCCAGAGAGCTGCGCTAACCAGCATGTACACCATACCAGATCTGGAGACAGTCTCCCTGTAGCTCAGGCTGCCCTCAAACTGCCAACCAAACCTCAATGTCTGACCCTCCCGTCTCCATCTTCAAAGTCTGCGGTTACAGCCGTGCACTGAGACCTGTTTTTTTTTTTTTTTTAATTTGCAGTGGCTTTATTTTTATGTATGTGTGTCTGCACGTAAGTCACATGTGTGTAGGTGCCCAGTGTTCACACAGTCACATAATTGGCACGGGATCCCCTGGAGCTTGAGTCACAGGTACCAACCGACCTAGGAGGGTCTTGGGAAGCGAATTAGGATCCTTCGACAGGGCAGTGCGTGCTCTTAACCCACAAAGACATCTTTCCAGGGCCCCGCCCTCTCGTGCTCCGTTTCACCTCGTTTTGTTCAGGGTATCTCGGGGCTTCCGAGGCTGTCCTGGGATCCCCTGTCCTCCTAAGCCATCCTCCAAAGGGCTGCATTTACAGGCATGCGCCGCCATGTCACCAATATTCGGCGGAGCTGAGGGCTGACCTCGGGGGGCCTCGTGGCACGCCAGGCAAGCGTGCTAAGGGCTCGGGCAACCCGCGGCTTTGCAATGCCCGTCCATGTCTTAGGGCGGCTCCCTCGGCCCACTGCGGGGCCAGGAACCCGGCCCCGCTGCCAGTCAGTCAGGAGGTTCCGGAACCGCCCTCGCGTTCTGGCGCTAAATTTGGGCCAATCGGGTTGCGTCCGACGGGAGACTCGAGACCAATGAGGAGCAGCGGGCTGGGCACGTGACGCGTGCGGAACCAGCGCCCCCCCACCCCCCGGGCCGGAGGTAGCGCGACGGCCGCGCTTCCAATGGCTCGCACCACTCCGAGTCACGTGCAGTGTTTACGGACTCAGCAGCTCCGGGGAGGTCATGTGGTAGTGACGTGACCCGTCGCTGTCCAATGGGAAAGGAACGCTCCCCGACAAACCGGGAACTAGTTTCCCCCCCGCGAATGACAGCGCGGAGGGGCCGGGCCAGCCTGTCACGTGAGCGGGGCGGGGCGGGGCGGCACTGGCTGCGGGCGGCCGCGGCGCGCAGGCGCCTTGGGGACCCGGTAGCGACGGCGTTGTTGGCGGCGGCGGCGGCAGTGGCGGCGGCGGCGGCGGCGGGAGCTGGTCGCTGACCGAGCGGGAGTCGCCATGGCGGCGGACGGAGAGCGCTCCCCGCTGCTGTCCGAGCCCGGCGATGGCGGCGCCGGCGGCAACGGCTTAGCGGGCCCCGGCGGGAGCGCGACTGGGCCCGGTGGAGGCCTGACGCCCTCTGCACCTCCTTACGGAGCCGGTAAACATGCCCCGCCCCAGGGTAAGCCGGAGGTCTGAGGTGCACCCAGGCCTGGGGGCGGATCGGGCCGGGGGCGGGGCGGAGCCTGCTCCCGCGCCAGGTGCTGCACCGTGGCACCTGTCACGGGGCGAGGCATCCTTCCTCCGCAATCACTGCCTTGAGCCCCGCACGGAGGAGAGCTTTGAGGGAGCCGACGTGAGCGCTGGTTTGTGAGAAGCCCGTCGAGCTTAGTCAGGAGGGTTCCCCACCTCCGTGGAGCGTCCGTGGGAAGTGTCCGAATGATGATTTGGTTTTCTCTGCTTCCTCCTCAGCATTCCCCCCGTTCCCCGAGGGGCATCCAGCCGTGTTGCCTGGAGAGGACCCACCCCCCTACTCACCCCTGACTAGCCCGGATAGTGGGAGTGCCCCCATGATTACCTGTCGAGTCTGTCAGTCTCCGATCAACGTGGAAGGGAAGATGCATCAGCATGTAGTCAAATGTGGTGTCTGCAACGAAGCCACTGTGAGTTATAACTATCAGCAAAATGGGCCTTGTTTCCTGGATGCTCTTTCCGGTTCTAGACCCTATTCAAGAGCTCTTCATGCCACCCACTTTCAGTTCCTGGATCTTCTACAGCCATTTCTTCAGAAGCTCTTCGTCAAAAATAATGTTCACCAGCTCTCACTTTTTTCACCTTTGCTGGATCCTGAAGTGTAGTTCTCGCTGGCAGTTTTTGCAGTTGCTTTTGGTTTTTGTATTTTGGGGTTTTCTTGTTCATTTTTTTTGAGACAGTCTCATAATGACCTGGGCTTACTCTGCAATCTTCCTGCCTCTGCCTCCTGAGTGCTGGGATTACACACACACATAGTCTTCTATGCTGGCAACATTTGTATATCTCAAATGTCTGATTTTTCCTTTCTCAGTAATGTTCTTGCAGAGGATTGGGATAACAGGCTCCCTTGCTGATATACCCATTGTTCCTTTATTCATTGTTCTCTAGCCCATCAAGAATGCACCCCCAGGAAAGAAGTATGTTCGATGCCCCTGTAATTGTCTCCTTATCTGCAAGGTGACGTCCCAGCGCATTGCCTGCCCTCGGCCCTACTGGTAAGAGACATAAGGTGGGAAGACTATTACATGCAAAATTGTAAAGCAAACAAAACAAAACAAAAAAATGTGAGGCTGGGAAAGGTGGTGCATGCCTGTATTCAGTCCCAGCCTCAGAGCTAGAGGAAGGAAGATAAAGATCTATGTAGCACTTAATTCCTAGTCATCCTGCCTACACCTCCCAAGTGCTGGGATTCAGTGTGTCATCAGATCCAGTTAGAATTAAGAACTTTTTAAAACATACTTTTTCCCCTGTGTAGCAAAAGAATCATCAACCTAGGGCCTGTGCATCCAGGACCTCTGAGTCCAGAACCACAGCCGATGGGTGTCAGGGTCATCTGTGGACATTGCAAGAATACATTTCTGGTGAGAAGGGATATTGGGAAACCCTGGAGGAGGCAAGTACTAGGAGTAGTAATAAATCCTGAAAAAGACTGTCCTATTTCTCATTTTTCATCCTCCCCCTTGCCTTGGGGTTCTCAATAAGGAGAACCTTCTCTCTATGGTTGTTTCTCTTTTTCCATAGTGGACAGAATTCACAGACCGAACCTTGGCACGATGCCCTCACTGCAGAAAAGTGTAAGTGGTTAGGGATTGTACTGGTAATTGGTTAATGTGTGGTATACAATCAACAGGGCTCTTCCAAATACCAATTTCTGTTGGCTCCCCCACAGGTCATCTATTGGGCGCAGATATCCTAGGAAGAGATGTATCTGCTGCTTCTTGCTTGGTTTACTCTTGGCAGTCACTGCCACTGGCCTTGCTGTGAGTAGTCTCAATGCAAACCTCTTGTGAGCCTTATCACAGGCTAAGATTTGAGAAGTTGGTACCTTAAAGAATGGTTAAAGAGGTGGGTGTTGGGGTATGTCCCTGTAATCCAAGAATATAGGCAATTCTAAGGTAACTCAGGCTTCATAGCAGGACCCCATATATAACACACAAAAGGGAGAATAGCTTGTACCAGCTCCAGATATGGCCTACCTGGTAAAAGTATTGGCCTAGCATGTGTGAAGCCATGGGTTTGCTCTCCAGCACTGCATAAACTGAGCATGGCGATTTAAGCCTATGTCCCAGTACCTAGGAGATGGAAGCAGGAGGCTCGGATTTCAAGGCCATCTGCAACTACAGGATTTGAGGCTGTTCAGGCTGTCAACATGAGACCCATGCCTTAAACAGCAACAAAAACTTAAAGTCTGCTGACAGGGTGTAGGGAGGTTTCAGGGAGAGGTGAACTAAAGCTGAAGGTGACTAGTAGACTAAGAAGTAAAACAAGGTATTCCCACTTTGGAGAGAGAAACTGGTTATTAGGGATCCTGGTTCACTTGATAGGCATGAGAATTTCTGTCAGATGCCTGGGATGGCAGGAGTACTTTCCAGCTTAAGGAAAGGAACCTAAACCACCTGCTATTTGGAAAAGGTCCTTGAAGGTGTCACAAGTGATTAGGGTACAGAGACAAAAGTTTGCATCATATTACTGCTTCTAAGACCTTGAAGCAGTAAATGCCAAAAGTAACCTCATCTTTTTCTTTTTCCTCATCTGTCAGTTTGGCACATGGAAACATGCACAGCAATATGGAGGTATCTACGCAGCCTGGGCATTTGTCATTTTGTTGGCTGTTCTATGTTTGGGCCGAGCCCTTTATTGGGGCTGTATGAAGGTCAGCCATCCTGTCCAGAACTTCTCCTGAGCCCCTTGATCCAGTCTGTGCCTGGCGGCTGCCTGGTTCCAACAGTAACACTACAAAAGGCTCTCTGGACTTGTACAAGGAAGCCAAGCAGCTGCCTCCCTTTTCCCTGGGGAGAGGTAGGAAGGAAGCAGTCCCTTAACTTAGGTTTGGAAAGCTAGGTAAGACCATTGCTAGCAGGCCGCTTTCTTCCAAGGGTTGCTGTTTAGGGTAAATAGGCAAAAATTGCCCCAAAGCCTGGATCCTAAAGACGGTTCTAGCCATGTCTTTCCTATATGTGCTCCCTGAGAACCATTCCTGTCCCTTAACACATTCCAGGGCAGGGTGGGGGTGGGAAGTGGGGGAGGTGTTCTCCTCCCTCTTGTGCACCATTAGGACCTTGCTGCTGCTATTGCACTTCACCAGGGGCTGGCTCCGGCCTCAGTACCCTCAGTCTCTTCTCCCCACATTTCTTGTCCTGTGGGGTGGGGTCAGCCACTGCTCTGTACAGAACTACAGGAACTGATGTATATATAACTATTTAATATGGGATATGTCCCCTAATCCTGTATTTCCCTGAATTCCTCCTTCTGACTTTCCTTACTTCCAGTTGTGGTACTGAACTGGGCTGAGGTAGGGTTGCTGTCTCTGGAGAGGTTAGGGATTCATCTGTGCTTGTAAATAAATAATGTCATGACTCTACCTTTCCCATTTAACAACGTTTGTGTATGAAAAGGGGAATTTGTAGATTGACAAAGGGAAAACAAGGACAGTGATGTTGAAAGTAGGACTTTTATTTTTACTTAAATTGTTAAAAGGAAACCAGAAGTTTGATTTTAATGTTTAAAACAGGGGAGTCCATACAAAAACAAAAACCTGGGGCCTAAAGAGATCAGAACACACTGGACTTCTCTGGGGGTTGAGGAGGCGGTTTTCCAGGCATAGAGCTACTTCAGGAGGGTGTCACAGTGCTAGGTAAAGGGTAATGGGACAGTGATCACTACCCAGAGCCTTGGAACGGATCTTGCTGTCACACAAGGCAGGTAAAAGAGAATGGGACAACAAAAAATAATCCAGGCGCCAACCAACATTCTTGGACCGAGCATTCATCATGTAAGTCCAAAAAGTATAAGCATAGGCGGTGTTGGGGTAGAGATGCCGGAAGCTGTCAGCCAGTGGTACATCCTGTAGCAACTCCCCAAAGCCTTCACGCTCCTGGGGAGTAAAGCCAGCATTCTTTTTGTTCCCTTTGGGGTTCCGAAGGTCAATTTCTTCATGAGCCACATTGAGATCCCCACATAGCACAAGTGGCTTTCGGGAAGCCAAGTCCTTCAGAAACTTTCTAAAAGCTTCATCCCAACGCTGCCGGTACTCTAGTCTCACCAGACCCCTGCCTGCATTGGGAACATACGCTGTTACCAGGACAAAGGAGTCAAACTCAGCTACAATCACCCGGCCTTCTTGATCATGTTCTTCCTCGCCTACAAAAATAGAAATCGGCATAAAATTAAAAAAATATATATATATATAATATATATATATATATAATATATATATATAACAACTGTCTGAAGACATTCACACATAAAAGTCAATAGAGCCTCACCAATGCCATAAGACACTTTGAGTGGGCACTGGCGGGAAAGTAGACCAACACCACTATACCCTTCTTTGTCTGATGGAGCTGACCAGTACTGATGGGTGAGTCCAGGCAGCTCCTGAAGTTCAGCTGGAAGTTTGTTCTCTGAGCATTTGGTCTCTTGGAGGCACAAGATATCTGGTGCTTCTTCCTTTACCCACTGAATGAAAATGTGGAAAGTTAAAATCTTCATAAATAATTCTGACTGGCATGAGACTTTATGTGCATTTGAGTGAATGCAGGTGCTGACTTGAGTGTTGGAAGCACAGCAAAGTGCTCTTAACTGCCCAGCAGTGGCTCTAACCCCCCCCCCCCATGCTGTCATAGGATTGGGGCAGTTCCCCCATCCCCCAACATTCTAGAGGCCATTTAAAAGACACAAAGATTGAGATTGAAGTAATAGACGTTTAGGCAAACCTCCCCCCCCCCAAAAAAAAAAAAAAAAAACCTACAGGCGAGAGAAAAACAACATCCTGTGGAAAGTCTATCAGGGAAAGTCTACTTCCCTCCTGAAGAGTACTCACATCCAAACCTTTCTTCTTAATCCAGGCTCGAAGCCCATCCACATTCCAGGAGCATATTTTGAGTGTGGCAGATTTGCCACTGGGTGAAGTTTTCTTATCTGGAGGGTCCTCATACAGGATAGGGCCCTCTCCTGCGGCCTCTTTCTCGTTTTTCTTTGCTGCCCCTTTACTCTTCTTAGTCTCGGGCTCTATAAAATGAGTAGGGTCGCAAGAGTTTTCAACCTCAGACCTGAGTTAGCCACGAAACGCTCTAGTTATCCCCGTTTCTCAGACTCCTGTAACATAACCTGGTCCATGTTTACCGTTGTTCACCGTGGTCTAGTCCTAAACTTCTTTTGGGCGCTGGGGAAGGGGGTGGGGGGACGAGGAACGGACGTGAGACGGGCTCATTGCACCACCTTACCGGACTTGGGCTCTTCCCCATCTTCTGCCGCCGCCCTCTTCCCACGCTTTGGCATCCCTGTGACGAAAGCCCTTAGGCGCCTGCAGCAGCGAAGCAGTGCGTCCTGAGTTGCCTACAGATAAGAATCGGTGAAATCAAACACAAGGAGAGGGAGCGAGCCTCCCGAGGGCGTTCGCACACCGGGGACCGCGGTTCGCACAGTCCTCCCGGCCACGTGCATCGCAGCCCCTCGCCCGCGTTAGGCCCTTCGACGTGCAAGGCCGCCCAAGCCGCTAAAACAAGTTACCTGACGGCCCAACGAAGGCGGGGAGCACCTCACAGCACAAAGAATGGAGCCTGCCTGTTCCCACGTGGGAGATTGGTGTGGTCACGTGACCAGAGGTCGCTCCTCCCCTCACGTGGTTCCGGAGCGCGATGATTGGTCCGCCTGCGACCTCGTGACGTAACTTCTGGCGCCTGAAGGGCCCATCACTTTGTTCCGGGCTGTTTGTCGTAGTGCCCGTTACGGCTGTCTTTCCGTCCCCGCATCCCGAGTCGGGGCCGCCATGCCCGCAGTCCTGGGGTTCGAAGGAAGCGCCAACAAGATCGGCGTGGGCGTGGTGCGCGACGGCACGGTGCTGGCTAACCCGCGGCGCACTTACGTCACGGCCCCGGGCACCGGTGAGTGGCTGCGGCCGCGTTCGCGGGCTCCTTGTCTTGGTTTGTTCCGTGGCGGGTTCTGTCCCGACATTCTGTTCTGTTCCTTGCGTCAGCCTCACGGGTGTTGGCATACTACAGGCTTGCGTCCCCGTTCCCAGACTCTTTTTTTACAAAAACTTGATTTCTGTTGGATTGTAACTGTTTGACTACAAGAGTCACAGACACGTGGACTTTGGTCGTGTGGGTTCCTTCAGGTTTGTTTTTGTTTTGAGACAAGGACTCACTGTGTAGCCCTGATTGACCTGGAAGTTGTTGTGTAGGCCAGGCTGGTTTCAAAGTCATGGAGCACCTGCGCGCACACACATAAAGCTGCATGTACCTGTGAAGGCTTCCTAAACAGGTTTGATGTTTCAGGTTATATAGGAGAAATATATGTGTGTTTAGGACTCGCTCTTTTAGGCACTGGGACAGATATTTGTGGTTAAAAGGGAAGCTACTGACTGTTGTGTGTGTTAAGCCCAACCTTGTGTAAGGTTTTGTGGAATTATAGGGAAAGTAACCGAAGAGTAGGCGGTATGTTTAACTTGAATTGATGCTGAAGGTTGTGTGTGAACGTGGGTATCTCTGAAGCCTCAGTAGCCTGTGCAGAGGTTAGAAAGAAAGCTGCATTGGTAAACCTAGCACTTGGGAGACTGAGACAAGAGGATCTGAGTTTAAGGCCACCTTAGGTTATGTGTGACCTTGTCTCAAAATTAGAGGCTTGAAAAGAGGATATTTTAAAACCTAGGTGAGTAATGGGATCCCCCACACACACATCGTTAAAACATCTCTGTTGGTTTTTACTTCTAATAGGCAAGTGCGAAAGTAATTGCAGTTTTTTCATTGTTGGAATTTGTTCTATGATAGTGGAGTACATTTATAGTGGTTCATACTCTCCCTCTCCCTTCCTGCTTGCCTCCCAAATGCTGGGACACAGGCACGTGCTAGAGTTTAGCTATATGTTCACATCTTAGCTAGAATACATTCTGCAGTGTCATTATATCTCATTTTTATCACATTTTGTTTTGGTTTGGGGTGAGCTTTTTTGGCTAATGACATTTCTTGCTGTTTATATTTATCTTAAACTGTGGAAATGATGTTAGACAAAGTAAAACAAAAGCCAGGTGTGTGAGCTCAAACTTGCAACCTCAGTACTCCAGGAGGCAGAAGCAGGCAGATCTCTGAGTTTGGCTCCAGCCTAGTCTATACAGTAAGTTCCAAGCCAGCCAGGGCTACACTGTAAAACCCTGTCTCAAAATGAATAATAAAAATGGAGTCAAACAAGTACTCTGAGTTCAGAATAGGAGGTAAAACAGTGGAGACATTAACTAATGCAGCTTGAAACACCAGCGATACCTAACAGTTGACCCCTGGAACTGCTAACAGTGGTGCCTTGGTTATTCAAGAACTTGCAAAGGAGAACACTCAAGTGGCTGTCTATTAGAAGTTGGCTAAGACCTGTTTATTGAGAGCAGTTGTGGGAGCTAACCTTATAGCTAAAGAAAAACATGCCAAAGAACTCAGTGTGGACCTTTCAATCACCATTGGATATTTGCAACCAATTGGAAAGTTAAAAAAAAAAAAGTTGATGCCTCCTAAAATGGCTAAAAATTGAAGTAGCCATTGTTTTCAGCTCTTCAATTTCTCAGATTGTGACAATGACAAAAAAAAATGTATAAGAAAACTAGCCACAACCAGCTTAATGGTTGGACTGAGGAGCCCCCAAACACTTTCCAAAGCCAAATTTTCGCCCAAAGAGGTCCCAGTCACTGGTGGTCTGCTGCTAGTCTGATCCAGTACAACGTTCTAAATTCCAGGGAAACCATTGCATTTGAGAAGTGGACTCAGCAAATCACTGAGATGCACCAAAACTGCAGCTCCTGCAGAAAGAACCCAATTCACAACAGTGCCTGGCTTGGAGCCTATGATCCCAGTGCATGGGGAGGCAGAAGCAGGTGTTCGAGGATAGCCTGGTCTACAGAGCAAGTCCAGGACAGCCAAGGCTACACAGAGAAAGCCTGTCTCAACAGTCAAGAACAGTGCCTGACTGCATGTGGCACTGCTGGATGGAAGGAAGCTTTAACTCGTCCACCACATTTACCGACCACCACTTCTTCAGCAGCAGCTCAACAACTTTTTGCAGGGAAAATGTATTCACAACCAGCAGTATTCAGAAAGTGTTTTCCAAGAGTTTGTTGAAACATGAATTTGCTACAGTAATAAATAAACGAGGGTTTTTTTGTTTTGTTTTGTTTTGTTTGTTTTCTTTTTGGTTTGTTTGTTTGAGACAATATCTTTGTACAAAGCCCTGGATGTCTTGGAACTCACTCTGTAGACCAGACTGGCCTCATGTCACAGAGATCTGCCTGCCTCTGCCTCCTGAGTGCTGGGACTAAAGGCATGTGTCATCACGCCCAGCTCACTGGTTTGTTGGTAAAATGTGTTGATTAAAATGGTTACTATTTTGATTAATAAAAAATGTGTTTGAACTGCTGGGGACCAGTCTCAGCCAGTTGGGGGTCTTGAGATTGGGAGGATTGGATGGCAGGAGAGAGAATCACTTCACACGGAGTGGGGGTGAACAAGCAGGCACAAGCTGACAGATGACTCATTTCAAGAGATTGTTCTCAGGAGGCAGTTTCTCTGGCGTCTACCCTACTCTGGAGCAGAGAGTCAATCCCAGTCTTTTATTATTAAGTCATTTCCTTATACATCTTTTAACATGATCAAAAAACCATTTTGTCTTTCCCCAGAATATTAGCTTTTCCCAAAAGACCCACAGATGAGAATATTCAGAATATAGCAAATTATACTCTTTATACATGGTACAGTAATTGTACCCAAAAACTCACAGAACAGAATATAGCAAACTGTTTTCTGTATACATGGTACAGTGATTACATTGCAAGCAAGTATATTTAATCATTAACTCAGTGCTTTTCTCAGACAAATTTCCACATCACAAGTCATCTGGGCAAGATCTAGCCGGTACAATAATTGGCATAGAAACAAAGAGGTATTAAACAAACTAGACTATTTTTAATTCTCAGCTGCTGTTTGTAGCTGAGCAAGTTCTTTCTGAGCTTTTTCTAAACAGCTTTTGTAATAAAGAGTGATGTTTATTCAGAGGGTCTCTAGCCCCTTCCTCATGAACTATACAAAGCTCCTGTAATCTTTTTATGTCCATGTGACCAAGTCTTTCTAGAAAAGGAAGTTAGTATGAGTCTAGTAGTTTCTCTAGGGTCTGATTCCTTTCTGACTGCAGCAATCTGGGGGCTGAGTGTGGAAATTCAAACAGTTCCTGATATTGCTCAATATCCATGAGCTGACTAAAGTTTTTCAAGGAACAGTTAGCACAAAAGTCCTCTATGGATTCAGTTTTTTGTTTAGATAATTCACGGTTGACTGCCTTTATAGCCAAGAGGAATGTTTCCTCCATAGTGGTTGTTTTTGAGCCATTTCCTTCTCCCCCAGTCCCTCTGAAAGTCTTTAGAGTTGCACTGACTAGGGATGAATTAGAGGAAAAAGATGGAGGTATAGTAAAAAACAAAGCAGGCAGACATATAAGAAAAAGCAATGCCATTTATGGACTGGTAATCCAGAGATGTTTTCTTGAGGATGACAGTACTCCAGCAGCTGGAACTGTGTCAAACAGCTGCATCTGCAGCAATGTCCTACCCGACATTAAACCTAGTCATAAGGGTTTAAAATCTGTAGTGCTATATCACAGTTCCTTCTTTACCAGCCTAATAATTACCTTTCTTATTGTTCTTAATCTGTATGCTTTTTCTTAGGATTCCTCCCAGGAGACACGGCCAGGCACCATCGAGCTGTTATCCTAGACCTACTACAGGAGGCGCTAACAGAGGCAGGATTGACTGCACAGGACATTGATTGCATTGCTTACACCAAAGGTTAAGTCTGGGAGAATGGTTGGTCAGCAAGGGAGCAATGTGGCTGGGGCTATAAGCACTGCCTGGACACATTCTCAAGTCTTATTTTCTTCACCTGTTTTCCCTAAGTCTAGGATTCTCACTCCAATTTGTACCCTGTCAGGTCCTGGCATGGGAGCCCCATTGGCTTCTGTAGCTGTTGTCGCCCGTACTGTGGCCCAGCTGTGGAATAAGCCTTTGATAGGTGTGAACCACTGCATCGGCCACATTGAAATGGGCCGCCTCATCACAGGAGCCATTAACCCTACTGTTCTGTATGTGAGTGGAGGAAATACTCAGGTATTTAAGAGCAATCTTTATATTCTGTCTTTCAGAGGTATTCTACCCGAGTTATAGGTGCTGCAAGGACAAAACCAGGCTCTTTTGGGCCAAAGATACTATAGAGAACATAACAGAGGTATCAAGTTGCAAGTTTTAGGGTGGAATTAGAATGTTAGAATTTTATACATGCAACTACAATTTCCAGTTTAAAAAGGAAAGAATATGGGTCTAACCGGTCAAGACAATGTCTTTCTTTTTTAATTTTATTTTATTTTACTTCTGTGGGTCTTCTGTGTACATATATGTAGGATCCCAAGGAAGACAGAAGAGGGCATCTGATCCAGAGATGCTAAAGTTACAGACAGTTGTGAGCTCCTATGTGGGTGCTGGGAATCAAACCTAGGTCCTTTGGAGGAGCAGCCAGTGCTTTTAATTGCTGGAGTATATCTGTGGCCCCACGAATATATTTTTCTTCAT